CCCCCTTTCCGCCCCGTGCCCTTTTCCACCCTCCCACCAAACTCCCCCCTCGTCTACCACATATTTTTAAAAGACTGAAATCAAAGTGAAGGTCGGAAGATCCCACCGTGGTGGCGATGCCTCGTTCGCAGCTTCCGCTCGTAGGCTACGGTTTACTCTTGGCAAACTTCAAAGTGCAGCTCGACTAGAGGACAAAACGACATCGGCTACCTGCTAAGCTCGGGGACTCCGGGAAGATTAAGCCTAGGCTACACCACGGCGACGCGCGAATGTCATTGCCGCCTCCCTTTGACTGCGGTTATGTTGAACTCTACTTTCTCGCTGAACACTGATTGTTTAGTCAAGAGGCGACACTAACGTTTTTACGTCTGTCTATGAATACGACTGGCCGAGTCGTACAAGAGAGCTTTAAGAACCAAACCTTCTTGAAAAATAAATCTGCGTGAGATTCTAGCTACGACCAAGCCTTGGACTTCCTAATTGTGCGTTGAGTAGGGCGTTATATTGACACAAAAAAGTGTTGTTTTATTATTTTAAATTTCCAACCTGTTGTCTGTAAAGCAGAGATAGCCAGAGAACCTGTAACATCAAGACAGTCAAATCACGGCACTGACTTTGGCCCAACTGACCACAAGTGATCTGTTTGTGGAAACTCATAAAAAAAGATAGCGCGTGGAGATCAGAGCCAAGCCATAAGAAGGTTTAACCAACTAACCGTTTCAAGATGGGTTTTTTTAGGTACTGTATCATAAATTAATATAATATAACTCCACTTTAGGAAAAGGAAAGGTGCTACTGGCTGCAGCAAAGTGTGGCGTCATGTCATGATCATTACCAAAGAGATTTTAAATAGTACTAGAGCTCGCAGCTGTGACGTCACTCTCGTCACTTGTTTATGAACGCGCAGGCTCAGTGTGCCCACTCTGGGACGCTGTGTGTCCTAGCCGGTGAGGAAAAGAACCAGCACCGTCACACTGCGAGTCCCTAGCAACTCATAATTATACAGTTGTATAATGTGTCTTCATACAGTGTAAGACGTGGAGCTTATAGTGAGTCCTTTTTTTCCTTTCGTTGTATCCGCATTTATAACAATAAAGTGCACGCATACACGTAACCGAACCTACATACCTGTGGGAAACATAATTGCCCTGAAATGTTATCACATTATAATATGAACGATAGACAAAGAGGTAATGTTTATTTGTTATTCCGGGTAGTGTGTGTGTTTGGGAGGTTGGGGGGGGGGGTAAAGTGAGCGACTGAGACTGAACAGCACACTTTTTCTCTAACAAAATAGATTGTTTTTTCTTACGTCATGTTAGCTATACACTCCTTCACTGATGCAATAATCAATAAGGTGATTGTCTTCGTCAATTTTTTACGTCTTTATGGATGTATCTGTCCCTGATTAGTTTTTCATGTTTGTTTAACATCATCTGGCAGAAGACTTGGATATTCTTTTGTTCATGTTACTGGATGGACGTGGCTGTTTTCAGTTGGAATACTGTGTGTTCATATTATGATTAGAAATTTCGGTAAACACATGGCTACTGGCTCATGATCTCAAGATATGCCTTGTAATCTGGGCTCTGAGATCTGGCTTCGCTGTCCGAGCAAGTCTCTCTGGTCGTGAGAGATGTTATCGGAAGTACTATCAATATCATACTCCCTCACTTTATAAATCGTCAAAGAAAGTCAGTCGGCTCTGGTGTGTAAACAGTCCTTGGTTGTGGTGTTTGTCATCTTGACAACTTGGTTTCCAGAAAATCTTACACTTTACGCAGCAGATCCTCTTGGCGAAACTGCGAGCAATGAAATCACTGATATAATGCAGTAAGTGCTGAATTTTTTTAAAGTGTTTGTTTTTGGTCACTGGCCCAAAGGAATGTCATGCAAAGTTGTGTGCCTATTGGCAAATGAATAATGAGCTAAAAATTTGTTCACAGCGACATACAGCGGTGAACAAGCTATAGTATATATTACTCGTACTAAACTGCTCGCACGTAAAAGCTACGATTACTCTCATTTTCACGCCAGTTTGTAATCCTTTCGCGTCACAAGAGTGCATCATTGTTATTTCTACTGTTCAACTCAGTATTACCGTAAACGTATTTACACTATACTAATGTTACTGGTGTGTTCCCAATATATCAAGTGGTGTCCAAAAGAAGCTCGGAAAATGTTATCACCGAATCATCGTGTTAAAGACGTGCACTACCCACTCAGGCTACGTATATTATACACACACACACACACACACACACACACACACACACACACACACACACACACACACACACACACACACACACACACATATATATATATATATATGAGGAATTCTCCTGAAAACTTGAACTTGCGCATACCCCTTACTGCAAACACCATAAATATCTTTCTTTATTTCAAATTATTGTTAAGATGAGCTAAGCCGGTGGGGAAAAGGTTGCCGAACCTGGACTAGGCAGAAAATATCCAATTAAATGATATGCTGAAACAGTGTGGTGTTTTTTGTTTTGTTAAAAAATCAGCATTTTTTAGGTATGAAAACGTAACATTCACCAGAGACAGTTTTCATCCGAAGATTTCTCTAAGAACTGCCTGTTTATCATTTTCGTAAGTATGTGTAAATACTGATCTCAAGTAGAACTTTCAGGGTAACCGACAAATATATGCTTAATACGGCCCATTTGTTCATACAAAAGACATAAAATTAGGCCTTAAACGCTACACGTCTCGTCCGAAAAATGATAAAAAATAGTAACCCTATCTTCAGTTCAATCGATCGTTTAAAAAGTGTAATTGCTGCTGCTGCTGCTGCTGCTGCTGCTGCTGCTGCTGCTGCTTTCACTATTGGGAAATTTCATGTTTCACTTTGTAACTGCCACACGATTTTTGTCCCGAAAATGCGAAGTCTCAATAATATGCTCAATGAGTCAATAAGTTTATGTCTTTTTCTTCTAAAAACATGACAGATAACATCAAAGAAGTATTATAATACATGTTTTAATTCTCAGTAGGTGTGCATATTTTTTTAAAGAAACAAATCGTCCTTTTTCTGCACACTCCTTTTGTATATTTTGTCCTGTAACGTTTAAGACTACTATATTTAGCTAATGTTGCTTCCGAAAACACTTATCGATTTTGTTCATATTTGCTGAAATACAGCATTGAATTACCCGTTTTATAGCAATACTCTTTTAAAGTTCTTCGTAAATTAGTATTTTTGTAAATAAAAGTCTAGTTTTCTATTTGAAAAATGATTTTTGCACGTTAACGTTAAAGACATTATGATTTTTTGATAAGCATTTTCTTCTTTAAGAAATGTTTTGAAATTTGTGTGAACAAACAATGAATTTAAACGACATAATGCTACCCCAATCAATTTTTCTTTCCCTCTGTTACATTTCATGTTTTGACCCGTATTGTTGTGTCCTGTAACGTTTAAGACCATAGCGCACTAGTCTAAACTTCACTTCCGTTTCCAAAGAAACCAAGCAAGCTTTAGCTTCATCCGTGTAGGGATCAAAACTAGACATGTCAAAGATGTACTGAGTACATTTTCAAGTTATTTGGTTGAATTCTAACATTTGTTACCCGTGTTACGGAAAGTTCAAACTTTCAGGAAAATTGCCCATATGCATGTACATTATATATATATATATATATATATATTTATATATATACAGTATATATATTTACTGTTGTTTTCTCTCTGCGTCGGGTCACAAGCTGACCCGGTGCAATACAATCATTACTGTACACATTATGGCCAGTCCCGTCTTCATGCCATGTTGACTGATCTGACTCTTGACTTGGAGGACAAAGATCAAGGAGTGACTGAGTGACTGAATCTTGCGCGATTGGTCACGCGATTTCTAAAGGAGCATTCGCAGAAATCCCCACGGGCCAGTAGCGTCAGGCTACTACTAGACCGAATTCGTTCGAGCAGCAATACGCTAGCCACCCGAAATCGGGCGACTAGCCACTTTGTAAGAGTACAGCTAACTGCATTTGGACAGCGTGCACCCATCTTCTACAACATGCTTCATGCGCTTTACAACTCTGTTATAATTATTACCCCATTAAACCACAGAATGATATTCTAGACTTGCGGAGAAGCCTTCAGTGCCGGTGAAAGCAGCTGATTAAGCTCAAACACTAACGACAAACTGACGGGATCTTTTGCTGTCTGTATTGCCGGGTAGCCATTTCCACTGGAGTAAAGTGTGGCAAATTTGGAGTTGGAACCCATGACCTTTCGGTTGAAGAAAGACTTCTCTGTGTAGTTCATAATTTATTATAAACGGTCGATGATGATTTCATCTGTGAACACGAATTAACAGGGACAATGAATGATACAGGTACGACCTAACATGAAATAATATGGGGTACACTGCATCACGTACAGAGAACATGGACTAATATCATATAACACATAACCATACATCGGTGACGAGCCCGACAGCATGACAACCAACCCCACATTTTGGTTCTCTTCTCCAGGCCCGATGTTGAGCGGTACCGTCCTTCTTCCCAGAGGTTAGAAGAGCTTGCTCTACAACTGTGACGCCTCCTGAGGGCGAACGAACAGGAGTCGATCTGCTTCCTTCTGCTTCTCCCGAAGAAGATACCATAACGAGAGCGGGGAAAAGAACTGGTTATGGAGATAGAGGAGGAAAATAAAGATCCTGCCATCGGAAAGGACGGGCCGGAGAATGGGCGGGGCTTCGAGGGGGTGGGCGGAGCTCATGGAAGCTCGTGCGTCCAACAGCTGATGGTGAAACTCCGGATAGTGAAGGGAGACGCTACACCCGTCAACTGGAAATATATCATGATGGTCGTCTTAGCCTTGGTGAGATTTGCTATTTGTTGCTCATTTACTATCTTTTTTGTCACTACCCTTTTCTTTTTGCAAACCCCCCTTTTTTTTTCTCTTTCTCTGTGTTCTCTGTCTCTTTCTCTCTCTTCTCCCATTGCTCTGTTTCTTTTGTCCCCTTTCTCTTCTCCTCTCTCTCTCTGTCACTCCCTCCCTCCTACCTCCTATCCCTCTTTCTCTCTCTCTCCCCCCCTTTTTTTCTTTCTCTCTCTCTCTCTCT